GGGGGTTAATTGAGAAAAGTGTTTTAGGACTGGGGCCAGGGATGCCGCGATGCCTGCAAGGAAAAGGGCTTCCCTTTCCAAAGAACTACTGGGTCTCCCCAGAAAAGGAAGTTTCCTTTCCAAAGAACTACTGAACCAAACCAAATACTAAACCAATACTAAACCAATTCTAAGCAGTACTGAGCCAGTCAGCAAGAATACTCAACCAATACTAAACCAATTCTAAACAGTACTAAGCCCGTCAACCAGAATACTAAACCAATTCTAAGCAATACTTACTGGAATACTACTTAGGGAAGACCCGGTCTGACCCTCATTTTGTTTTTAGGGTTTCCTCTATTGACCCCCCCCCCCCATTTTGTTTGGGGGGGGGGGGCCCTTTATTATTCACTCCCCAACATTAACCGGCCAGCCAGCCAGCCAGCCAGCCAGCCAGCCAGCCAGCCAGCCAGCCAACCATCGCCAACCAGCCGGCCCAACAACCAACAAATCAACCAAAACCACAACGACAACCATCACCACTACCACAACCACAAACAGCCAGCCAATCGACAACCGACCAACCAACCAACCACAACAACAACCAAACGACCAGCCAGCCAAGCGACGCACCAACCAACCACAACCACAACCCAAAAGCAAAACCAACCGCTTCTTTCGAGCGCTCGGCGCCTCCTGGGTCTTGAACTTGGGGCTCCCGCTGCAGCACCGCCGACCATAAATCCCGCTTCCCCAGGCGCAGCAGCGGCATAGGGCGCAGCGCGTAGTCGCAGCAGGGGCCCACCTCGGATCGAGTACGGTCGGCAAACAGAAAATGGATAAGTAGTTCGGAAAAATATGGAAAAAGGGACGGATAAGCGCTGCCTGAAAGATGAAGAATGCCGTGATCAGATTGAGCCGAACCCGGCGTTGAAGGAGTTTGAATCAAAATGGCGGAGATCCGCACCTATGGTTTGGATTGTTTTTCGCGGCTGATGAGAAGTCGCTGACTGTTTCAGAAATACCATTCCATGCAAACTCTGATTCTTGCTCTCTTGTCTTTGGCTGCCTTGCAAAACACAGTGTGAGCACAAATGCGTGCTGCAATCGCCACATTCAAAACCTCAAAAACTCACAGTCTCTCAAGCAGAAAAACAAGACACAGCTCAGCCACCGACTCCATGACGTGCAACTGGCCTGTGAAGCAATAATGTGTCTCGCGCGAGAAGTTGTAGACAGTCCAATTCTTTAGCTTTGCAACCCGCCAGAATATCTGGTCAGTCCAGTAGTTTGCACCTGCACAGTCAGATGCGGGTCTGTCTTGCTTCCTGTCCACCAGGATGGCAGCATCGTCATAGACCGCTGTCCACCAGTACAGCGGCCAAAAGTTCTGGTGGAAGTCATGATTGATGTTGCCTGCGCACCGTGACTGGTAAAGGGCGACATGCTTGTGGGGTATGCTTGTAAAATTCCGATATGTGCCCCATGGCTTGCAGCAGCCCATTCGCCCACATTTCCCAGGAAGATCACCCGGCATAGCCAGGCAGGCACGGTCACACGGGCGTGTGCATGCGAGGTATCGCTTGTCCAGCGGATAGAGCGACGCAGCGGCAGCGCTCTCCAAGGTGCTCTGTGGTTGAACAGGGCTCGCCGGGCTGTCTTGCATGCATGGCAGCGGTTTCGTGAAGTTCGGCAGGGCACATTTCCAGCTTTTGCCATCAAAACCATCCCGCGCCACCTAGGCAACAAACACCAGGCTGCACTTGGAAGCTGCCAGAAGGCAACAGTAGAACTTTTGACAGCCCCGACCTTGTTTTGACAGGGGTTGGCCACCTGGAACCAGGCGCTGTAGTCCTGGATGGCCAGCTCCAAATGTTTGCTCATCTGCCCCTGGAGAGTTGTGAGAAGAAACCAAATCACCAACCAATTTGCCCCGCCCAAATTCAAGGGGCAACGACGAAAGCATGCCAAAGTGAAACACTTTGGCCACTGGTTCAAAAAGTAAATTGCCCCTCCCTTCAGCCCCTTCCTCACCCGTTGGCAACACCTCCGCGTCCCCGAGACCTTTGAGCTTGAGCTCTGCTCCACATTCGGCGCGCCCGTGCACGTCCAGCACCACGGCTTGGGGCAGGCCGTCCAGCGCTGAGTCCTTGGTCCTGGAGTGCAAAATCACCTGAACGGGCCGGCCCGGTTTGGGTGGGGGTTGGAATTCATAAATGTTAGACCCGGATATTCTTCGCAAGGAACCTGGCCGGCATCTGTTCTCTGCACCAAGGCGGCCAAGGACGGGAAGCTGCCGCCACCCCCAAGGATCAACACGTTGGACCCCGCAATGTGGTCCAAGTCCCGTCGCAGACTCTCGTAGCCCTGGCTCAGCAAAATGGATTGAACCTGTTACTTGGTAATCAACCCAATTGATTAAGCCCCTTGGCCCTGACTTGCGCAGGGGGGTCTTGTAACCCCCGCGCCCAAGCCAACTGGCACCATCACTTTGGTATCTAGCAACTGAATCAGGGTTTGCAAAGGAAAACCAAAAACCTGATCATCTGGTATGCCAGGGTTCTGACGAAAAAACGAGGAGACCCGCAACAAAACGGAAGGCGCGCCCACCTGGCTGCCCTTCCCCAAGATGGCCCGGCCGGCCAAAAAGTCCACTGCGCCCCCAAAGCGCCGCAGGCACGCGAACTCAGGACTCGCAGGGTCCACCTGACTTGCCAGTTGAACTTTTTAGGGGTCAGATACCAAAACTCGAAAACCCTATTGGCTTGGCTTGTGCCTTGCCTCCCCGATGATCAGCAGCTTGGTGTTGCGAGAAGTGACCCCCGGCAATGCGCCAAAGACGAAGCGCAGGGCGTTGAGGTACAAGTACAGCGGGCAGGCCTCGCGGGTCCAAAAAATGAAAATCAAACAATATGAGAAGCAGCAAAATCAAGTGGCTTTGTGTATCACATCATATCGAAAAGCACAAGCATAAACGCCAGGTTTTGGCGCCTGCCTCAGGCCGATCACCCCGGCGCATTTGTATGGCTATCCTGAAGGTGGCCGAGCCCCAGAATGCTGCAGATCGGCCCTCTGCAAGCCGCACGGCATCAAATTGGCCTTGAATCCACTGCCATGTCGTCTCATGCGTCACGGTTTGCACCCCTGGGCATTGCAGTTTGTACACCCCGTCAGCCAGCGAACGACGAATGTACCAAGCACTGCTGCGAAGAAGCGGCTTGCCCCCTTTCAAGCGAACGCTCCGCGACTTGTCGTACTCCACGCGGACAGTTGCAGACCTGACTCTCCCGATGGCTTTTCTGGAAGCGATGCGCTTCGCATCTCCAACAACGCCATCCTTCCGGCAGCCAAACAACGAGCCCACATTGCCTGTAGCATGACCACCAGTTTCCCAATCTTGAGGGTTGCAAACATAGGCACAACCATATTTCTCAGCTAGGGCTATGATGAACTCAATACGGCGGAACATGCCACCAACGCCCTCACCGTTGGGGCAGGGCTTCTCATTATAGAGCCAGCATCGAGGAACAGAGCGGTTGTCCTCTGTGGGCTCAAGATTGGAAGCGCTGGTGGGAAAGCTGCTGACAGTCGGCGCATCCGGCTGCCTTGAAAGAGCCACCGCTTCTGCCCGGTCTGCTGATCCACGCACGTCACGCGCGTCGGTCGCGTCATGCGAGTCACGCTGCTCTTGGAGTGGCCGGAACGGAGGTGCCAGAAGGAGAAAGGGAGGAGCCGCCGCTAGGAAGGACAAGCAAAGAAGTCTGGCCATGGCGCATTGGGTCCAACCAAAACCTTATGCGATTCGGTGGCAAGAAGGGATTTCCCAACCCCAGGCAAGTTCTAAAAGATTTCTAAAAGGGCAGGCCTAACAGACCACAAGCGCCGCCAACACTCATCTGCTGCTGCGCCTTTTGAGCCTCCGCTTGCCTGGCGGATCTCATCGTTTCCACCGTCAAAACGCACTAAACGATCATGGTGTTGTCCCTTTTAAAAGCAAGCCAAAGGTTAACCGAAGCCCGTTCTTGCCAGAAGTTGCATCTCATGTTGGAGTTGGGCACCTGTGGTTGAGGCGCTTAGAGTTCTCTGGCTTCCATATCGTTCACCATTCTTCCAGGCAGCCGGTCGGGTCACGATTGCTCTCCGCCTGAGGCCTGACTTTCTTGAGAGACCAATAGACCAAAAGGAACGTCACCCACCAAAAGAAGCTCAGATTCAACGCACCTTTCCAGAAAGCGAGCTGTGAGAGAACTGTAGGGGGCCTGGTGGGTGTCTGTTTTTCAGCAGGAACCCCACCCCGCTCCTCGTTTTTGTTAACCTGCGGCGCTCTGTTCCTTCGCTTCCCCTGGGCAACTCACAGGCCTGCGCTGTCCGCGCGCTCTACCCGCATTGCGCACTGGGTTCAGCGCCTCCCACGGCTCCGGCAGCCTCTTGTGCTTCTTGAAGACCTGTGGCTCGTGCAAGATTCTGAGGAACGCCTTCTTCACCCCACTCTCACAAGACCGTTCGGCTCCCGCCTCCACCTCTTGCAAAATTTCAGGGCGCTCAGCCTTCCATCCTCTCCGCCCACCAGGCTCGCTGTACACCATCTTCACGATCAGGGCTGATCAGCGGGCGTGTCCTGTTAATTGTTTTGAGTCTCGCAACCTTGTTGCCTCCGAGACCCCACACAGTCTGGATTTTTGCGGGCCTGCGTTGGCTGATGTTGCCTGGTTCGCGGAGGGGCTCACTTCTGTTGGCCCGGGTTGCCAATTCGAACCTCTTCCTAACACCCCTTCGAAGCTGTAACGAGCAGGCTTGCGCGTTTAGATGACGCGCGCAACACCTCCCTCTGTGGAACCCTGCGCAGCAGCGCTGGGCGACGAAGAGGTAAAGCAGCGCAAACTTCGCTGTCAACACTCCTCCTGGGCTACAGCCAGTGACGCACGTCAGCTGAGCCCGGTCGCCAGCCACACTTCCATAGCGCGAGCTCCTCGCCTGACGCCGTTCCGCCGCTACGCAAGCCTGGGCGCAAAGCAGCGGCGCTCCACTTCCAAAACGTTACTTGTCACGACCGCGCAAGTTACTTCAGTTTTGGGGCTTGTGTTGCTGGTTTACCTGGAGAGTCTGATGGCGCCGCCCTACGTTTGTTGTTTCATCTGGTTGAAAAGCGACAAAGCGACTGATGGCCACTCTTGTCCCTGACCCCTATAGACTTAGCCCTGGCTTCACATGTGCAGTTGCCTCGCGGCACACTCATTCCTGCCGAAACCGGCCTGGCTGACTCTAAACTGCTCTTGTCTGGGGCGCGCTCTTGTTCAATTTGCATCGCCGTTGTTGCTGTGACCTGCCGCTGCGCGGCCGTCTGCAGACCATCTTCTTCAGACAGCTTGCGTCAGCGCGTGGGACGAGGGGTCTGGCGCACAGCGTTCTCGCTTTGCCCTGCGCTGCGCAGGTTTGCGGGCGCAGCAGCCAACAGCCTCGGCGCTTCCGTTCGCCGTGTCTTCCGGCAGACCATGACACCCTTTCACTTGCTCTCTTCTCCACCCCTTTGCGGCTCCTCCAGCATTTTTCACCCCCACGTCCAGGGACTGCCGGTTTGTGCGCCTTCCATCATCTAATGTCACCCTCTACCCCTCTCCGCCCGGCCCCAGCTCCTCATCGACCCTTGCCTCATCCTCGAATCGTGGCGCATGGCATGACTCCTGTGCAACTTCTGCGCAGGTCAGCCGCCACATTGTTGCTTGCTAGATGGTGCCGTAGGTGGAGTCAATGTCCTCATCATCGCCATCCAGCCCCCAATCGTTTCCGGCCCAAGGCAGATCTGGCCCGCGGATACGCTGAGCTCCTCACCCAGCTCATCTCCTTGAGAACACACCCTCCCACCGGTCAGAGGTGAAGCGCTCGCATCCAGATCAGCCTTCACTTGCAACAGTGGCAAGGTGTCCAGCCTAGCCTTACCTCTTCCTTCCCGCTTCGAGCAAAACGGATTAACGGCGCTATCTCGGTTCCGTAGCGTCCCTACTTCTGTGGCCACCTGCCCCGTCTCCGACCCTGGTCCGCTCACATCCGCCACTGGCTAAAATGCCCGGCGATCTCCATCGACTTTTTCCTAGGGCTCGCCCGGGGCTTCCGCCTTCAGTGCACGGCCTCCATGCGCTAGAGCAGCTTTCAGCTCATTACCTGTTAAAATCTGCGGCGCCCTTTTCCTTCGAGCTATTGAGGGGGCTGCATTGTTCACTCAGTCAAACCGCATGACAAACTGGGTTCAGTGCCTGGTGCAGTTTTAAAGAGAAAAAACAAAACCAGTGGGGCTGCTTTGGGGAAACTAAAGCAAAAAAAGAAACAGACGTTGGGAGAGTGGAACAATCAGGGACAGCCTCGATGTCGCGCACGGCCACGGGTCGTGATGTGGGTGGCGTCGGAGTCTTGGACCCTGGCTTCACATCGAGCTCCCTGGCGGCTGAAGCCTTGGCCGTCTTGACGGGCCCAGCTGCCTGCCCAAGTTCCAAAGCCGCAAGAAGGGGGAGCAAGCTCACCTTTTCAAGCTGCGCAACGTAACGCGGGCGAACGCCTAATCCAGCAGCATGTGAGAGTGTGCACAGGCAACATTCAATACTACTCTTTACCATTGGTGGTCCGGGAGCAAATGCGTCCTCAGGAGCCGTACCGAGCGTTGGCTTCGAAGCCCAACTTCAAATTCAAATTTGCTGAGGTCTTGCGGGCGCCGATCAGCGATGCAGCTGAAGTGGTCGAGTCAGCTGTGGGGGCTTTGCCACCCAGCGCGTCCTCATACCAGGCACTCACCTGATCCCAATTCACAACGTCCCACCAGGCTTTGATGTAGTCAGGGCGGCGGTACTGATACTTCAAGTAGTAAGCGTGCTCCCAAACATCACAGCCTAGGATGGGAATGCCCGGAGTTCCCTCAACACCCTCCATGAGCGGGTTGTCCTGGTTCGGAGTCGAGGTGATCGCCAGCTTCTTGTCATCTGTCACTACCAACCAAACCCATCCCGAACCAAAGCGTGCTCCCGGAGCTCCTGCGGCCTCAAACGTTGCCTTGAAGTCATCCATTGACCCGAAGCTGTCATCAATGGCTGAGCCAAGCTTCTCTGACGGTTTTCCGCCCTTGCCAGTTGGTGCCATCTCAAGCCAAAAGAAGTTGTGATTGTAAGCACCTCCACCACTGTTGCGGAAGGCGGCACCATCCTTGATGGCTGTCTTCTGCAGGTCGACCAGGGCTGGCTGCGTCTTGCCCTCCAATGCCTTGTTGATGTTCGTCACGTAAGTGAGGTGATGCTTATCATGGTGAAACTCCATAGTCACCTTATCAATGGAAGGCTCCAGGGCATCATAAGCGTATGGCAAGTCTGGCAAGTCGTAAGCCCGAGTGGACTCCACGCTCAAAAGACCTGCCAATCCGCTTGCCAAGCTCGCTGCCACGCCTCGTCTTCCCGGGCTCGCAAAGCCAACGCTCAGGCTGCGTGCCAGCGAGGCAACAACGGCCAAGCAGACTGCTCCGCGAACGCGGCGGGGAGCCATGAGGAAACTCCAGGATGGATGGCTTGGAGCAGCAGTGGCTTCAGTTTTTTCCACGTGTTCATTTCAGCGTGTTGACGCCTGCTTCCTTCCCTACGTTTGCCTCGCTGCAACTCTACCTTGCTGCCTCACTTCCTTGGCGATCTGCGCGCCTCACGCCGCGGTCGCCCGTCAGGCGCCAGCCGCAGCAGTGCGTTGAGCTCCGACCTGCGCAGACTCGCGCCTACCAAATTCCCCACAAGCACAGGCTGCGCGCCGAATTGGAAAGGGTTAGCAGCTTCGGGCGTTTTCAGTGCAAAAGACACATCTTCTAAGAAACAACTTCCTCACAAATATTCGAAACGCTACCTAGAACATGTCTCGCTGAACTTCAAGCTGGAAAATCTGCTACAAACATGGTGAAACATCTCGCGCCCGTGAAACACTTTTGCACAACTTGGCCAGCAAAGTACTAAGTTGAGGTCGTCGTTATCGTCTTCGTTGAGGAGGTCGTTGTTGTCTGGCAACCGAAAACATGCCGATTGGTAAGGAAAATATGGCGTGGCAAGCACATTGACTCTCGAGGCACATGCTCACGGTTTGCAACGCGGCCAAGTTGCTCTAATCACACCTCAGTCAAGCTAAGGCACGCGCGTGTGGTCAAATTCACACCAGAAATGTCTCTATGCAGCATCGTCGCGTCTGACGGTCTGTTGTTCTGCCCAGCTCCTGTTGATTCTCTATCCGCCGACATTGTTCGGCGTGTCGGATTCTTACTAGAGGATAGAGGATAACCCCCCCCCCTAACCCCCCCCCCCGCCCGACGTCAAATACGTAGTAGTTTTCGGGGAGCCGCTGTCGCAAAACAGGGGTCCCAGACAATTCCCCCTGCCGGCTTTTTTGCTGGCTTGGGCTTTCTGCATCCTTTTGCCGAAAATCTGAAAAACCCTGTGTTTTTGGACGTCCTCTTTGAGAAAACGCTGGAAAAACCGTGTTTTTTGCAGGAAAAACTGGGGAGCAAAGGAGAAGTGCAAGGATACATACATACATGCATGCATACATGCATCCATACATACATTACATTACATTACATTACATTGCATTGCATTGCATTGCATTGCATTACATTACATTACATACATACATGCATAGAGTACATTACATTGCATTGCATTACATTACATACATGCATGCATGCTTGCATGCATGCATACATACATACATTACATACATACATACATACATACATACATACATACATACATACATACATACATACATACATACATACATACATACATACATACATACATACATACATACATACATACATACATACATACATACATACATACATACATACATACATACATACATACATACATACATACATACATACATACATACATACATACATACATACATACATACATACATACATACATACATACATACATACATACATACATACATACATACATACATACATACATACATACATACATACATACATACATTACATTACATACATTACATTACATTACATTACATTACATTACATTACATTACATTACATTACATTACATTACATTACATTACATACATACATACATACATACATACATACATACATACATACATACATACATACATACATACATACATACATACATACATACATACATACATACATACATACATACATACATACATACATACATACATACATACATACATACATACATACATACATACATACATACATACATACATACATACATACATACATACATACATACATACATACATACATACATACATACATACATACATACATACATACATACATACATACATACATACATACATACATACATACATACATACATACATACATACATACATACATACATACATACACATACACATACATACATACATACATACATACATACATACATACATACATACATACATTACATTACATTACATTACATTACATTACATTACATTACATTACATTACATTACATTACATTACATTACATACATACATACATAATTACATTACATACATACATACATACATACATACATACATACATACATACATACATTACATTATGCATGCATACATAGAGAGAGGGAGATTGGGGAGAGAGAGGCTTGGGGGGATGGGGAGGATGGGGAGCAGAGGAAGGGAGACAGGACGACAGAACACACAAAGGAGACAAGGGAGAGAGGAAGGAGGAGAAAAGGGAGAGGACAATGTCGGCGGACTGAGCCGGAGGCTCTAAAGTTAACTTTTACCTGGTGGTTTGGATTGGTGTGCGCCACCCCCCGCGCACGCGCAGACAACCAATAGGCATGTCTGGATCAGACGTTGAGCAACTCCCGCATCAATGACATGTGCCCTGCCATGGCACGATGCTGATGATGCTGGCAACGCTACGAAGATCCCCAGCATAAGTCTGAACAGCCATTTCGGCAGCGACCCAGCTGGCTGCAGCCAACCCCAAGAACGCCGAAGCGGTTTGCAGTTGGCCGCGATGCTAAAGGCCCGTGGCGGCGGCCCAGTAGCCTTCGGCTCAGGCTACTGACGCTGGCTCGCTTGCGAGTACGCAGCCTTCGCCACCTTTGTCTGACAGTGCATGAGTGCACGAGAACCCCTTTTAGGATTCCGGTTTAACTTTTTGTTGGCAAGCCTTGCTGTCATTTTTTGGAAATGTCCTCGCAAGTGCTGGATGCAATTTAGCTCTGTCCTGCTGATGCTTCTTGTCTTTCTCTTCTGCTTGCACTCTTCGTTTTGAACGTTATCGTAGGACTTGAGTAGGGACCTGTGGTTTGTCTCCGTTTGTTCATGTTGGGTTCGTTCTTTTCCCTGGCCGGAGGCGCCTGCAGTTTCTGTTGGCAACTCCCTCTGTTTTTTTGAAAGCCCCGCCATGAATCAAGCTCTTGCCTGCTGATGCTTCTTGCGTTTGGTTTTTGTTGCCGTTCTTTCTTTTTGAAAGGTCCCTGCAGGACTTTAGTGGGGACCTTTGGTTTACCCCGGCTTGTTGTTCACGTTCGTTTGCATAGCTCTGCCTGCTGCTTGGTTGCAAGCTTGTTTGTCCTTTTGCAATCGCCCCCACCAAACACAACTTGGGACCTGTCGTTTCACCCTGCTTGCTCATGTTTTCTAGGCACGTCATTCTGGTGATACTGGTGACGCTGAGCTGGTATGGTGAGGATGCAAGAACGATCCCAGCTGCACAAGTGGCGCAGGGGGCATCGAACACCTCGGGCTTACTCCCTTGTATGAAAGGATATGGACTACGAAGAGGAAAGGAGGAAGACGGCGTTTCACGTGTCGCCGTCTGCTGCCGAGGAACCATTGAAGATCATCGGGTCGCTCGCCCGCTCCTCGAAGCAATTGCCACTCTCCTTCTTCTGCAGGACAAACTCCAGCAACCTTCCGGTGCCTGGGAAGGAATTCTCTTTCAAGCGCAGAGTGGCCTTTCAAACATGCAAATTTGGGCCGTCAATCACTTCCAGGAGCCACGCTGACTCTTTCAAGGTTCCTCGATCAATACCCTAGCAGAAACCAAGCAGGCCAGCTGTCAAGGTTGCCGGGTAGCCGTTTTCCGCGGAGCACAAATTCAGCGGATCTTTGAGGCCTCAGTTCAGCGAAAGGGGGTCTGGGGAAGCGCAGAAAGGGACCCTTCAAAAAACGCAGCCTCCATCCAAACGGGGCCCACGCCCCACTATGGATCTAGGGTGTGTTTTCTTTTGATTTCCCTTACATCCGAACCCCCCCCCCCCCAAAACGGGTTCAATTTTGTTGGTTCTCCCGGAAGCGACGCCCTAGTTTTGGGGCATACGTCAGCTTGCAAAAAGTGGAGATCTTTTTGGGGTCATGGCGACGACGTTTAGGAAACCCTCCTACAAAGGGGTTGCGTCCTCTTGGTTCACTTCGTGTTGCCAGTCACTCTGATGGTTCCCCCGCATTTTCATCAGAAGATCTAAAACACCCAAAGTCTTGGGAACCTCCACATAGCTCGAAGTTGCGTAAAGAGACCGGCCAGCCTCAATTAAACTCCCTGCCAAGGCTCAACAACCTGCGTCCTCAGGTGGCGAGGTTGGCAACCAAAACTGCGAACTACCAACATAAACTGCGCACTCCTGTGGCTCTGCCTGCGCTGGGAAACTGCATCCTTTTACCCCTCGAGGCAGGGGACCCGTCAAGGCAACGACTTTGCCACTATGATTCTACGTATAAATTTGCACCGCCTCAAAAAGTTTTTGCTCAACACCGCCATAAATTTCTGCCGCGGCTCGTTCTTGCAGAATCTGCTCGGGCAGCAGACAGTGACGACGCCGTCGGAGCTGCAGCTTTCAGTGCATCCCTGTCAAACATTTCCTTTCAAAACATTTCAGACATAAGGACAAAAACAAGAAGGACAGAAGGACAATGTGACAATTTCGCCGACTTCTTTCCGGCGTGGTTGGAAGTTTCCCCCCAAACCCCCACCAGTGCGAATCCTGAAATATTAAAAACTCGTAGCAAGAGCCTAAACAGCACGCCAAAAAACACTCCGACGAATCCACCAAACTCCCCACGGTGCCCCGCCGGCCCAGCGAGTGTGTAGAGGGAGCGTAGGGAGGAGTGTGGAGTGTGGGGAGTGTGGGGAGTGTGAAGAGTGGGGCGTGCACCTACTCCACACCCCCCCTGGGCTGGCCGGGTGTGTATGTTGTTTAGGGTGCTTTTTGGCGGATTTTATGTTTTTTTGTTTAAATGAATTGTTTAGTGTTTTCATGGATTTTGCTGATGGCTCCTGATTGGGTTGCAGGGGCCACTCCACACTCCGCACGCCTCAACCTGCACTCCACACTCCGGACTCCCCACTTCACACCCACATTCCACTGCCCGCACTCCACACTCCACACCCCCAGCTCAAAGGGCTAGGCTAGCTCCAAGTCAAACATATACGAACCATCAGAGTCATCAAACATGTATCAAGCCTCAACATATCAGTTATCCAAATC